AAAGACAAAACAAACAAACAAAAAGTACTAATAATAATCGGGTGTGATGGCGCACACCTTTAATCCCATGAAAAAAATACTAATACCTTTTTTTGGTCTTTTTTTAAAAAAATATTTCATTTACTATTTTTATGTGTACAAGTGCATTGCCTGCACGTATGTGAGTGCACCCGTGTCGTGCAACGCTGGGGAGGTCAGAAGAGGGCTTCGGATTCCCCTGGAACTGGAGTTAAGGACGGCTCGTAGCCACCATGTGGGTGCTGGGAATCGAATCTGGGCCCTCTGCAAGAGCAGACAGTGCTCTTAACCGCAGGGCCATCTCTCCAGCCCCATTTTTTGGTCTTTTTAAGACAGGGTCTCCCTGTAGCCCCAGCTGGCTTGGCACTCACTATGTATACTAGGCTGGCTACATGTAGAATGGCATGCACCACCATGTCAGGCTGAAAAATACTAATACATTTTTTAAAAATATTTTTTTTTAATAGCCAGGTGTGGTGGCACACGCCTTTAATCCCAGGACTTGGGAGGCAGAGGCAGGTGGATCTCTGTGAGTTTGAGGCCAACCTGGTCTACATAGTGAGTTCCAGGCCAGCTAGGGCTACAGGGAAACCCTGACTCAAAAAGACAAAAAAAAAATTATTTTATGTGTATGTGTATATTACCTGCACATAGGTAAATGCACCCCTGTTGTGCAATGCCCTCAGAGGACAGAAGAGGCTGTCGGATCCCCTGGAACTGGAATTATGGACAGCTGTCAGCTGCCATGTGGGTGCTGGGATTCAAACCCGCGTCTTCTGCAAGAACAACCAGTGTTCTTAACTGCTGAACCATCTTTCCAGCCCCATAAATACATTTTGAAAAATTTATTTATATTTGTATGCGTGTATTGCCTGCATGTACGTAAGTGCACCCATGTCGTGCAATGCCCATGGAGGTCAGAAGAGGCTGTCGGATCCCCTGGGACCGGAGGTACGGACAATTGTTAGCTGCCATGTGGGTACTGGGATTCAAACCCGGGTCTTCTGGAAGAACCACCAGTGTTCTTAACCACTGAGCCATCTCTCCAGCCCCAATAAATACATTTTTTAAAAGACCACTAGAGAGATGGCTTAGCAGTTAAGAGCACTTGCTGCTCTTGCAGAGGACCGGAGTTGTTTCTAGCGCTCACCTGTAATTCCTGGGGATCTGACACCTTCTTCTGGCCTCTGCAGGTACATTCACACACAAATTTTTTGTTGTTGTTGTTGTTGTTGTTTTTGGTCTTTTTGAAACAGAATCTCCCTGTAGCCCCAACTGGCCTGGAACTGGCTATATAGACCAGGCTGGCCTTGAACTCACAGAGATCTGCCTGTTTCTGCCTCCGAAGTGCTGGGACTAAAGGCGTGCACCACCACACAATTTTTTTAAAAAAGACCATCAGATACTGAGCTTGATGGTGCACATCTTTAACCCTAACATTCAGGAGGCAGAGGCAGGTGGATCTCTGTGAGATCAAGGGCAGCCTGGTTTATAAAGTGAGTTCCAGGCCAGCTGAAGCTACAAGGAGACCCTGTTTCAAAACAAAAAACAAAACCTTTAAAAACTGTTTTCCCACACACAGCAGTAAGAGGACAACTTGAGGGAGTTTGTTCACTCCTTCCACCATGTAAGTGACAGGGACTAAACCCAGGCCATCAGTCTTGGACAGCTCACTGGCCAGAAAGAAGTGTTTTATTAGTTCTAATGCCACAGCTCCAAGGGAGGCAGCCCAGGAGAGGCTCCCAGCCCGACTCTCTAAGAGCCGGAACAGCTGGCTTACACAGTTGGAGAAGGCGTGTTGGACCAATCCCAGCAGCCCCTCTGCTCAGTCACCAGGTGAGGTGCTCTCCCTGTTGTCTTCTCAGTTCATCAAAGCTTGCAATAGCAAAATCTAAAAATCTGGTGTGAAGTGCTTCAAACGGCCCTGGCTGAGGGCATGCCTTCAGCAGCTGGGCAGTCAGCTGAGATCAATCCTGGGGCTCTCAAGGCGCTCAGGCAGTGTTCAAGGCAGTGGGTGCTGGCTGAAGAGTGCGCGGGCTGCGGACACTCCTGTTCCAGGCGGCCAAAGTGGCAAGGGAGTCCCATCCCAGTCTTTACTTAGTTACAGAAAATGAACTCTGGGAGTGTTACAATAAGAACTTACATTTTTTATCATTAATAGTGATTTGTTTAGGTGCACTTAACAACTAAAGCTAGGCATTGGTGGTGGTGCACACCTTTGATCTCAGCACTTGGGAGGTAGAAGCAGGAGGCTCTCTGTGAGTTCCAGGCCAGCCAGGGCAACGACAAAACCAAACCAAAGGTGCTAGACCCCTGCCCAGCCACCCAGGGAGGTGGGTCCCTCTCAGCATCACTGCTCCCTACAGGTGTGGTTTGACCTCTTCATCATTCCTGTTCTGGGCATTCAAGCATTTTTGTGGTGTGGTGGAATTTGTGTGCCACTCACAGTCACGGACGGAGGAGAGCAGGAGTGGTCCTGGGACTTTGGACGCGTTGGGTCCACAGTGCATGTAACTGTCACCAAGGGCCTGGTTCTGCCCCATGCCTGTGACAAGTGCATGAATTGCTAAATCTCATATTTTCCAGTCTCATTATGAGGCTGGAACCTGTGTCAGATTTTTCACTCCCTGGTTGCCTTTGCCTACTTTGATGGGGCCCCTGGCCTACAGGAACTCCGTCGTGGCCTGTACAGAGGCTGATGACTCCTTTCTCTGAGGGCCCCCTTGAAGGTGAGGAACATGCCAAGGGGGGGATCAGTGGGAATGTGGGCTTCATGTGAATAAGGCCCAGGGTTCAATCCCAGCACCAAAGAGGAAGAGGGGAAAGAGGAAAGGGGAGAAGAGGAAGAGGGAGGAGGGGAGGGGGAGGACAAGAAAGGAGAGTGAGGAGTCCCTGACCTGGTGGAAGTCCTTGGCAGAAGTGGGAGGAGTCTGGGTTTTTCTAGAAGAAATCTCTTAACTTGGTGGAGCTTGCATTTTTTAAAAAATTCTTATTTTATGTAGGACCCATATCAGCAATGCTGACAGAGACCTGAGGGTGGTATAGGATCCCTGGAAATGGAATTAGCCACAATGTGGGTGCTGGAAACCTAACCTGGGTCCTCTGCAAGAACAGCCAGTGCTCTTAACCACTGAGCACTCTCCAGTCCTGGAACCCAGTACTCAGAAGGCAGAGGCAGGTGGATCACTTTGAGTCTGGCCAGCCTGGTCTACAGAGTGAGCTTCAGGACAGCCAAGGCTACACAGTGAGACCTTGTCTCAAAAAAAATTGTAATAATTTAAAAGAAAAACTTGCATTATTGCTATTCATTCTGGTGGGGTTTTTGAGACAGGGTCTCCCTATACCCCCAGCTGACCTATGTAAACCAGGCTGGCCTCCTGAGTGCTGGCTTCCTTGTTCTGAGTGATGAGTCTCAAGCTGTTCTGTGAATTATCCTCATCAGGCATCTACACTATCTGCCATCCCACTTATGGGTCTCAGCATCCATCAGTTACCATGGCAGCTGTTACAGCATCTGTTGTTCAAGTGTTCCTTACCATCAATCTTTGTCTCACATCATTACAGGATGGGAGAGCTGGGAACAGCCCTCAGAGGCTAAGGCAGGATTGCCACAAACGTAAGAGGCCAGCCTGAGTTCACAAAGTGGGATCACTGTGTATCAAGATACATAGCATCCAAGCTACTGTTGACTGTGAACCCACTCCTTAGAAATTTTTTTTCTTCTTTTGAGACTAAGTCTCCAACTGGAACTATGTAGACCAGGCTGACCTTGAACTCAGGGATTAAAGCTGTGCGCTACCACGCCTGGCTTAAAGTGTTTTCATTTTTTGACAATCTCATATATACCTGTTTTGACCATATTCACCCAAGGCCCCTTCCTAATCTCCTTCCCAATGAGTCCACCTTCCATCACCTGTGACCCATGGATTTAATTACGCTTATTTGCATACCCACGAGTGGTTACCAGTGGCTACACCACCAGACACTTTCCCAGACATCATTACAAGCTTCTCAGGGAGGGCTGGGGCCCCCTCCACTCCAGGACACAATGTTCATGCGCCCATCGGATGCTGGCATCCACAACTGCCGTTCACAAGCACAATGGCTTTCAGGCAGGTTCACTTGTATCCCAGGCTGGCCGAGCTCCTGATCCTAACTAACTGCCTCTACTAACTAAATACTGGGATTACAGATATATCTCACCATGCCCGATTTAGTCCTGCCTGGCCTGGAATTCACAGGGATCCACCTGCTTCTGAGACAAGAGTGCACTATGTAGTCCAGGCTTGTTCTAATTACAGATGTCCTATTTTTCCAAAAATTTTAAGAGCTGGACATAGGAGACTGAGGCAGGCAGATCTCACGAGCTCCAGGGAAACCCCGTTTCAAAGCCCTCACCCCCACCCTGCCCAATACCTATGTCAAGGTGGCTGGCCTCAAGAGTCAGGGTCTCTGTATAGGCCTCGCTGGCAGGATATGATCTATGTAGCCCTGGCTGGCCTGGGCCACCACATTCAGCCTATCTTCTTTAAAAATGCTTTGTGTGTATGAATTGCTTTAAGTGTAGTGCCATACAGTGCAGTGCCCAAAGAGTCATGAAAGTGTCAGGCCGCCCTGCAGTTAGGGATGCTTGTCAGCCACCATGTGGATCTGGGAGTAGAACAGCTCCTTGCCCCCATCATTTTTTCAAAGACAGGGTCTCTTCCTAAGCTGATTTAGCGAAACACACCTAGGTGTCAGCTATAACCACTTGGTGGGACATTACTCCCATTTTTAAAAATTTATGTGTATGAGCCTTTTGCCACATGCGTATGAAGTACATTATGTATGCAATGCCCACTGAAACCAGAATGAGTGTTAGCCACCATGCTAAGTGCTGGAAACCAAATCCAGGTCCTTTCAAGTAGCCAGTGCTCTTAACCACTGAGCCATCTCTCCATCAATCCTTTCATACCAATGTTTACAGAGACCAGATAAATCCATTTTCTGCTTTAAGTATTTTATTGAGATTTTTTATAAAAGGAGGTACAAGGCAATCTACAGTACAGGATTCTAGCCACACCCCAGCTAATGCTATCCACCTGTGCTGGTTTCAGGCCTTTTTTGGCCTAGTAAGTCGACAGCTGCTGACAATCCAAGATCTCAGGGTCTGCCCAACTTGGGATAGAAATTATCCTTTAGCTGAAAATCCTGAAATTTCATACAAGGAACACATATTTAGAACTAGGCAGGCAACTGACCGCAAACATGAAGCTGGGTAGGCAATGTCCCACTCGGGGCCATGTAAGAGCGGATCAGGTGGTTTCAAGAATCCTCAGAAAAGCTCAGAGACTCTAGTCCAACCAGATCATCATCACCACTCAAGCTGGGAACCCAAGCAAGACTCACCACAGAGGCAGGAAGGGCTGCCTTGCCTCTTGACAATGCAGGTGGATGGGCAGGAAGAGCCGCCTCAGCTTTCCGTCCTCAGGTGAGCGCAGAATCCAAGTGAGGGGACACTGGCCCCATGGCTTCAGAGCTCCTTCTAGAAAGTTGAGCCAAGCAATAAAAACAAGCAGAGGCTGAGCCAATGACTCGAGACCCAAGTTCTACCAAGGAGTGAAAAGGGTACACAGAACAGTGTTCCTTCCAACAGACCCTAGCATCCAGGTCCCCTCAATGAGTCAGAACTTAAATTTGACATCAGAGCCAGTGTCAGAGACTCTAGTCTGTGAGATCATCATTCCCGATTTAGGGAGACCTGGGTTAGGGGCATCAAGACAACAGTCCCAAAGGTGAGGATGCAATGAAAGTCCAGGAAATGTCAGACAAGAAAACAAAGTGGTCATTTGCAGCCCCTGCCTGTAACCTCAGCATCTGGGATGCAGGATTACAGTTAATTCAAAGCCACCCTGGGCTCTGTCCCCAAATCCCAGCACCTGGAAGAGGTGGTAGTTCCAGGATAAGGCCAACTTTAGTTACAGGAGACCGACACTACCAAGAGGGCTGCCAAACCCCGACCATCCCAGTCTGATCCCCAGGACCCACATGGGGAGAACCAACTTCAGCAAGCTGACCTCCTGGCACAGGCTCTCACATAAAAACAAATATAATCACACACACGCAAGCAATACTCTAAAATATCTTTTAAAAAGACTCACAGCACTTTTAAGAGGCGCAGACAGGCGATTCTGAGTTAAGAGACTGACCCGGTCTCAAAAGCTGGACGTAGGGGTATACCTTACTGGGACTAAGGTCCCAACACCGTCTTAAGAATCAAAGAAACCAAGCAGCTGCTGGTGCCCATGAAACCTACGCGGAAACAATCGGAGAGGCGCCCAGGATACCAACCTATTTTCAAGGCTCACGGGCCGGGGGACGTCTTCAAATCCCTAACGAAACATGGAAACAGATGATTAGGTCCAGATCACCAACTCTCCAGAGCCCAGGTTCTCAGACCCAGGGTCATCAGCGCGCTGCGGTGATGGCGTCAGCGAGACACTCAGTATCACCAGAGGTCATCATCAACCCCTCCACCTGGCGGTCCTAACCTATTTTCAAGGCTCACGGGCCGGGGGACGTCTTCAAATCCCTAACGAGACATGGAAACAGATCATTAGGTCCAGATCACCAACTCTCCAGAGCCCAGGTTCTCAGACCCAGGGTCATCAGCGCGCTGCGGTGATGGCGTCAGCGAGACACTCAGTATCACCAGAGGTCATCATCAACCCCTCCACCTGGCGGTCCAAACTGCCCACCACCATCCATTCACCTTCATGACGCTGGAACTCTCCGGGGAGGATGAGCGGGCTGAGCACAGGCTGGAGAGATCGCACACCTCTGTCCGGGAGACTGCGGATCCCGCAGAGGACAGCAACGACCAGCAGAAGCAACCACACTCTACCGCAGGCGGGCGTCCAAAGAGAACAAGCGGCGGCGGCCCCGCTATTTATAGCCACGCCCGGGGTCCTGCCGGCTGTAGTCGTCTGCAGCGATGCCTGAGCGCCCTGTGGAGTGCAGCGTGCAAAAGAAGCCAGGCGTCGGGCGCAGCCATTTGTCCCGGCACTCGGGAGGAGAGGCGGGGGCTCTGAGTTCAGGGCCAGCCTGGTCTACATAGCGAGCTCCAGGCCGGTTGGGGCGTGGGCAAAGGAGGAAAAAGAAATAGGCGGTGTGGACGGTCAGGTCGGGGAAGGACCCCGGAGGCCAGCGCTGGTCCCCCAGGGCGGCTGCTGCATCTGCTTTGCGGCCTGCGGAGGCCTGGGGCGTCACTCCACCCCCATCCTGGCAGAAAAATGGGAATTTGTGCCTCAGCTTCTGCTCTCCATTCTTTTTATTGAAAGTATGAAATGACCCAGGGGTTAAGAGCACTGGCTGCTCTTGCAGAGGACCCGGGTTCGAGTCCCACCACGCACATGACGGCTAAAAACGGCCTGGAACTCCTGAGTACCATATAGTTTTTTGTTTTTTGTTTTTTTTAATATAATAAACTCAGTTCCTAGAGACTCGGGCCTGACGGAGGAAAAGATGGCTGTGCGTTCCAAGCTGTGTAAATGCTTAGTGATGACCCACCCCAGCGAGCAGTTCACGAACCTCAGTCCCAGGAATTCTTTTTTGGCCCATTGATTGAACTGTTTATGGAAACTCTGTTTAACTTCTTTGTTGCTGACACAGAGTGAACTCTGTGAGCCTTTCACACCTTTCCAGTCTGGTTCGCAGCAGGAAGCCTGTTACCTGCATTTCCTTCTTTCCCGACTCTATCCACAGAGTAAAATCAGGTGAGGCATCGTAGCTCCCACCTGCAATCCCAGTGCTTGTGAGTCTGAGGAAGGACTGTCAGATTCCAGGGTAGCCTGCCTGGCCTAGATAGTGATACTATCTCTGAAAAAGAGCAAGCCATTGGCGGTGGCTTCAGGGTAAAGGCTCTTAGGACCAAACCTCGTAAGCTGAGAACCCTACACGGGGGAAGAGACGTGACTCCCGCAAGCTATCCTCTGACCTACACTCCTACACCATGGTGTGTGTGCCTGCACGCACACATACACAAAAGAATTTTTTTTAAATATTTTCTTTATTATTTTTATTTTATGCGTATGAGTGTATTGCCTGCATGTATGAGTGCATCCCTGTCGTGCAATGCCTGCGGAGGACAGAAGAGGCTGTCGGATCCCCTGGAACTGGAGTTACTGACAGTTGTTAGCTGCCATGTGGGTACTGGGATTCGAACCCAGGTCTTCTGCAAGAACAACCACTGTTGTGAGCCATCTCTCCAGCCCCACACAAAAGAATTTTAAAAAACAAATGAGAAGCTGGAGAGGGCGCCTGGAGGCATGGCTCAGCGGCTAAGAGCACTGGCTGAGCTTTCAGAGGACCCTGATGGTGGCTGACAACTATAACTCCAGTTCCAGGGGATCCCACACCCCCTTCTGACCTCCGTGAGCACACTGCACCCCTAGATGCACTTACATATATGCAGGCCATACACTCTCACACATTTAAAAAAAAAAAAAAGATTCAGTTTTATGTTTTTTTTTTTTTAGTTTGGAGTCTGTTTTCCTGAGTCAGGGTCTCATTGCTGCTGGTGCAGAGTGGTAAGACGCCAGGGTATTTTTCCCCAGGAAGGAGTTTATTCCTGCTAACACCTGGCTCCTATCCAAAAGACAGATCCTTGAACAACAAACCCAGCCTTTATACCCCCTTAGTTCCCCTTCACTGTTCAGTTTCTTTACCTCCCATACATGGCAACACACATACTCTGGGTGCTTCAAGCTGCAGAGTCATGGCAGGCAGCTCTGTGTGGTGCACTCAGGGGCAGACCATGCTGCAATCCTTGTACTTTGTTCTGGGGGCACCTACTGCAACATGCATTCCAGGCTGGCTTCAAACTCACTTGGTAGCCAAGGATGTTTGATTTTTTTTTTTAAGAATAAGCCTTTTTGGTTTTTTGGGGTTAGGTTTTTTTTTTGTCTTTTTTTTTTTTTTTTTTTTTTTTTTTTTTTTAAAAAAAAAAAAAAAAAAAAAAAAAAACTCACTATGTAGACCAGGCTGGCCTTGAACTCACAGAGATCCGCCTGCCTCTGCCTCCCAAGTGCTGGGACTACAGGCATGTGCCACCACACCTGGCCTGTATTTTTAAATTTTATTCATTTTTATGTATGAGTGTTTGCCTGCATGCCCACAATGCTGGTGGAGATCAGAAGAGAGCTGGTTCTCTTGGAACTGGAGTCATGGGTGCTGGGAACAAAACCAAGTCCTCAAAAAAAAAAATAAAAGCTGGGTGCAGGATGCATCCTTTTTTGCATCCTTTTTTTTTTTGGTCATCTCTGTGAGGTTAAGGGCAGCGTGGTCCACATAGCTAGTTCAGGCCAGCTGGGGCTACCGAACCTGGGTCCTCTGCAAGAGCATCACCTGCTCTTATCTCCTGAACTGTCTCTCTAGCACTTACTTGTGTATGAAGCTGTGCTTGCATGTAAGCACACCACATGCTTCTTGCAGTTAGTGTACTCAGAGGCCAGAAGAGGGTGTGGGATCCCCTGAAACTGGAGTTACAGGTGGCTGTGAACCACATGTGGGTGCTGGGAATCGAACCTGGGTCCTCTTCAAGAACAGGAAGCGCTCTTATCCGCTGAGCCACCTCTCCAGCCCCTAATATATTTATTTATTGTCTTTTTGAGACAGGGTCTCCCTGTAGCCTCAGCTGGCCTGGAACTTGCTATGTAAACCAGGCTGGCCTCAATCTCTCAGAGATCCACCTGCCTCTGCCTCCTAAGTGCTGGAATTAAGGGTGTGTGCCACTATGCTCAGTGCCCGTTTTTGAGATGGGGGTCTCACTATGTAGCTCTGGCTGTCCCAGAACTTACTATGTAGACCAGGTTGGCCTTGAACTCACAGAGATCCACTTGCCTCTGTCTCCCCAGTGCTGGGACTAAAGGCATGTGCCACCACACCCAGCTCCTATGTTTTTTTTTTTATTATTGTTTTGGTCTTTTTGAGACAGGTCTCTCTGTAATCCCCAGCTGGCCTGAACTTAAAACATAGACCAGGCTGGCTTTGACCTGGCAATATTTTATTATTTTTATTTTATGTGTATGAGTGTATTGCCTGCATGTATGTGACTGCACCCGTGTCGTGAAATGCTGAGGAGGTCAGAAGAGGGCTTCGGATTTCCCTGGAACTGGAGTTAAAGATGGTTCGTAGCTGCCATGTGGGTGCTTGGAATCAAACCTGGTCCTCTGCAAGAGCAGTCAGTGCTCTTAACTGCTGAGCCATCTCTCCAGCCTCTTTATAATTATGTGTAGGTGTGTGTGTGTGTGTGTGTCTGTGTGTGTGTGTCTGTGTGCAGCTGCCCTCTGCGGGTGGAGGACAGAAAAGGGCATAGAATCCCCTGCAGCTGGAGTTACAGGTGGTTGTGAGCCGCCCCACATAGGTGCTGGCAACTCAACTTGGGCTCTTTGGGAAAGCAGCATCAGCTCTTAAACAATGAGCCCATCTCTCCAGCCTCAAGTTGGCATTTACTAAAAAACATTTTAACATCGATTTTGAACTCCAGAGTTAAGAGAAAGAGGCACTTGGGAAGATAGTAAGACTCATCAAAGAGCATGGGTGTGGGCTTCCCGAGAAGAGGTGCTGCAAGTCACTGTAGTTAACACAAAGCTGACGGCACTGCAGTCCCTTGTGACTACCTGACCAAGAGAAGATACACATTACCCACAGCTCAGAAGAGACTACTTTCCATAATACAGTCACCAAGGCTCATCAGTCTGGGACCCACATACCTTCTGTGCTGTCCCTCAACCTGGGTTGAGGGAGCCTCAGTTGGGGAATTGCCTCCATTGGACTGGCCTATGGCAGTCCATGTCTGTGATTACTGAGTGATGTGGGAGGGCCCAGCCCACTGTGGGTGGTGCCACCTGTGGGCACGTGGGCCTGTGTTGTATAAGAAAGCAGGTTGAGTAAGGGCCAGCAGAGCAAGCCAGTAAGCAATGTTCCTAGATGGGCTGTGCTGCAGCTCCTCCAGGTTCCTGCCCTGGGCTCCCTGATGAATTATGACTTAGGAGATGTAAGCCAAATAAACCCTTTCCTCCCCAAGTCGGTAGTGGTCAGAGTGTTTTGTCACAGCAATGGAGAAAGAAACCAGAACACCTTCCCATATCTTTTCTTTTAAAAAACCTTATAACGAGGGTAGTGAGATGGCTCAGTGGTTAAGAGCACTGGCTGCTCTTGCAGAGGACCTGGGTTGGGTTCCCAGCACCCAAAAGGTGGCTAACAACCATCCATAACTCCAGTTCCAGATGATATGCTACCCTCTTCCTGCCTCTGCAGGCATTGCACTACATGGGTGCACTTACATACATGTAAACAACACTCGTACACACAAAAAATAGTAATTTTTTCACCTAGCGTGGTGTTGCATGCATTTAACCCACCACGCTGGAGACAGAGGCAGGCAGATCTCTTTGAGTTCAAGGCCAGCCTGGTCTACATAGTGAGTTCCAGGCCTGCTGGGGCTACAGGGAAACCCTGTCTCAAAAAGACCAAAATAATAATAATAATAATTTTTTAATGTTATGTTATATGTCACAAAAAGATTATATAAAAGATTCGGGCAGGGGAAGAGAGAAGCAGCTGACACACCAGAGACACTGTCTTCCAACATCTGGCTTGTGGTGTAAAGCTTTGTGGCTGCTTCCACTCACTGACTGTGAACCCAGAATGCTGCGTCCTACAGGTACAGAGGGAGGCCAAGCATTGCATGACACAGGTATACTTACATGCAGGCAATACACTCATACACATTAAAAAAAATAAATAAAGCCGGGTGTACTGGCACATACCTTTAGTCCCAGCACTCTGGAAGCAGAGGCAGGCGGATCTCTGTGAGTTCAAGGCCAGCCTGGTGTACGTAGTGAGTTCCAGGCCTGCTGGGGCTACAGGGAAACCCTGTCTCAAAAAGACCAAAATAATAATAATAATAATTTTTTAATGTTATGTTATATGTCACAAAAAGATTATATAAAAGATTCGGGCAGGGGAAGAGAGAAGCAGCTGACACACCAGAGACACTGTCTTCCAACATCTGGCTTGTGGTGTAAAGCTTTGTGGCTGCTTCCACTCACTGACTGTGAACCCAGAATGCTGCGTCCTACAGGTACAGAGGGAGGCCAACTGCATGGCAGGCCTCTATGAGGCAGAGGTGCAGGCGGGTTGTCACCACCCAGGAACTCCCTTCAGTCCCACCTTCTGACCGAGTGTGCAGCTTCTCCTCAGCCTCCATCAGAAAGGAAGGGCACGGCCAAACTGGCACCTAGCTCAGAGTCTTCTGGGTGTGTAGAGCTGACTAACCTTGCTGTTCCAGGGCTGGGTGGGGGAGACTCAGGGGAAGAGAGTGGTAAACAGTGTTCCTAAGGATAATGACAGGGCAGTCCGCCAAACAACTCGAGAGGTCTGGCAGTCAGCACTAAGAGGGAAGGTGCCCAGGGATTGTGACAGACTGAGTGGGGGGCATGAGGCAGGGACCGGAAGCACGGTGTTTTCCCCTGCTGTAGAGCCTAGCGTCCATCACAGCTTTTTGTGAGTCTTAAACTCACAGCACTCCTCCTGCCTCAGCCTCTCAAGGACTGGGATTCCAGGCTGTGCCACCAGGGAGGCGATTTCAGTTCCCTTTACACTCCCTCTTCTCCATCACTCCACGCGGCTGGGGTGGGGGCTCTATGTAGCCCAGGCTAGTCTGGAACTGGCATCCTCCCGCCTCCACCACCTGAGCTCTGGGACGACAGGTGTGCAACTTCCCATCTCAGCATCATCCCCAGGGTGTGTAGAGGTCGGTCTCCCACCGCCTCCCCCTCTCACCCTGGGGTCCCCAACTCAGGGCACCCTCTCCTCTAGTTCGGGATTCTGGAGCAGGTTTTCAACACTCGCAACCTCAAGCCAGTGCCCCTGACATCTCTTTTACACAGGGATAAAGGGCTGGGTGGTACCTGGTGAAGGTGCAGAGCGGTCACGGTGCATGGAGCCCTGGCCTGGCCTGATGCTTAGCTAAAGTGGGGGGCGGCCCTGGCTGGGGGGGGAGAGGCTGAGGAAGGGGAGAGGCTGGGGGGGAGACTGAGGAGGGAGGAGGGGCTGAGGGAAGGAGAGAGGCTGAGGGGGGGAGAGGTTGAGGGGGAGGAGACACTCGAGGAAACTGAGCTGTACTCTCAGCTGCTCCAACTTCTCCCAGGGCGCCAGCAGGCGGCTTTTATAGGGAGCCGTCCGGCCCCGCCCTCCCTCTCCTCAGCCAATCACCGAGCTGGGTACGGAGGGGTGCTCCGGAAGCGTCCCGCCCCCTTCGAGTGATAGCTAGGGAGAGCCCGCTCCTAGTCCCCGAGCGCTCCCCACAACACAAGCCGGCGGCCTCTAGCCTGAGTTGACCGCAAGTCTGTCCCCTGGGCCTGGAGCTGCGACTCTCGGGGGCAAGCTGGATGACCGCGGCCCGGTGTAGGGGTTCGGGGTTCCCCGCGAGATGCGGCCCCCGAGGGGGTGGGGCGTGTCCGGTGACGTGGGCCGCACGGTCGCGTTACAATGCCTGACCTCATGGGCGGCTGAGGGAGGGACGGCGACCGCGCCGGAGCGGCTCAAAGTTTCCGAGCGGGGCGGGGTGGGGGGTGGGGTTCCCCGACTGCACAGTTTGGATGTTCCTGGAGCTCTTCGTCTCTGGGGCTCAGCGATCCTACCTCTTCCAAAGTGGAGCGAAGGCGGAGAGACGCCAGGTGAGCCAGAACGGCTCCAAGCCCGGGGCTGGCCACCGAGTGTCCCAGCACCTCCTCCTGAGTGCTGGCGACCCTGGTTGTGCTGAGTCCAAGGCATCCCTTGAGGGGACACCGGAATTGGTCTGGGCTCCTAGGATCAAGTGTGGGCTAGCAAGAGGAGCCTTTTTTTTTTTTTTTTTTTTAAAGACAGGGTCTCCCTGTAGCCCCAGCTGACCTGGAACTCACTATGTAGACCAGGCTGGCATCGAACTTACGAAGATCCGCCTGCCTCTGCCTCCCAAGTGCTGGGATTAAAGGCGTGTGTCGCCACGCCCGGCAGAAAGAACCTTTTTAAAACTTGTCATTGGCCCCAGAAAACCGAAGTTCTGTTCCGGAGAAGCCATGCGTGGTGGTGATACATGATCTCAGCACTAGGGAGGTTGAGGCACTGCGGCTACCTGGGGAGACTCTGCCTTAGAAATAAATAAGCTAGAAAAACTGTAGGGCTCCACTTCTCAGAAATCTTTTAGATCTTTATTATTTTTAAAATTATGTGTACTTGGGTCAGGCATGGTGGCGTACATCTTTAATTCCAGCACTGGGGAGGCAGAAGGCAGGTGGGTCTCTGTGAGTTCCAGGCCAGCCTGGTCTAGGTAATGAGTTCCAGGCCAGCTGTGGCTACACGGAGGAGACAATCTCAAAAAGACAAAAAAAAAAAAAGAAAAAAGTATTATGTGTACATGTGGGAGTGTGGGTTTGTGCACAGGAGTGCAGGTGCCCATGGAGGTGTCAGATACCTCTGGAGCTGGACTTGCAGGCAGTTCTGAACCATCTGATATGGGTGCTGGGAACCAAACTCAGGTCCTCTGCAAGAGCACTATAGCTCCTAACCTCTGAGCCATCCCTCCAGCATCTTCTCTCTCTTTCTCTCCTTTTCTTTGAATGTGATGACTGTTTTCCCTATCACCATGTTGGTGCAGTACCTGCAGAGGTCAGAAGAGGGCGTCAGGTCCCCTGGAATTGCAGTGCAGACAGTTGTGAGCCACCTGTGCTTGCTGGGAACTGGTCCTCTGCAAGAGCAGCAAATGTTCTGATCTGCTGAGCCATCTCTCCAGCTCCTCAGAAATCTTGATTGGGGCCAGCATGGTGGTCCAAGCCTCTAATCTCCTAGCATCTGGAAGTGGAGTCTGGGGGATTGCTTGAGCTATGTAGTGAGACCCCTGTAGACTTGTTTGGAGTCCTAGCAGCCATCTTTAGAGTGCTCTGAATCACTCTTCCATAGACTCTTTAATACATAAAATACAGCAAGCAAAGGAGCCAAGTCGGAGAGGAGGCTCGTGTCTAGAGCACAATAATCTGAGGATTCAGACAAGCATGGTCCCACAGGAAAGTGTATCACCTCTATAGGAACAGTACAGTCGGATTAGGTCCTGTGAGGAACTGAGAAGCTATATCCACTTCCCATCTTCCCTTTGACCAGCTGCCAACGTCGTCTACCGTTGTCACTTAAGCACTTGCCATGAAAGCCAGGTCTGGTTATATCTGCAAACTTGTGCTGGTAGCTACATCATTCACAAGGGCCAAGAGCTGGAAGAACCCAGGGTCCAGGGAGAGGTGAACGAGCAAAGAAAAGGTGGTGTGCACATAATGAACATGATGCAGTCTTAGAGATTCCAAAACATGAAACCTCGTGGATAAAAAAATCGAGGGTATTGTGCTTAGTGGAACAAGGCCAGCCACAAAAAGACAAGTCCTGTATTAGTCCACTTGTACAGAACTCCAAGAGAAGTCAAACTCAGCTTAGAAACCACAAAACCCTCCATTAATGCTGAAAAAGCACAGATGTGGTTAGAATACACCTCATTCACAGGGTCTGGTGGTGCAGGCCTAGAGGCAGTTGGATCTCAATGAGTTCAAGGCCAGCCTGGTCTACATAGTGAGTTTCAGAACAGCTGGGACTACAAGGAGACCCTGTCTCAAAAAGACCAAAAAAAAAAAAAATACACCTTATTTTCAAATACTTGGAATTTATTGCGGCAAAGGGTCCCCAGCTCTACCCCAACTTAGAAAACATAGCAAGACCCATTTTGAAAAGACTTCCTGCTACATAAGAGTCCCATTTTGGCGTGAACATAGGCAAAGGCTCATTGATTTCGACCTGTCCTTTGGGGCAAGGTTCAGACTGAATGGCGTAGTGTTTGGTAACAGAAAGTTGCCAGTGTCTGCACCCCCTCCCTTGTTGTCCTGCCATTTGACCAGCCTGTCCTGCCAGATAACAACTGCCCACTGGACTGGCAAAGCCAGGGCTCATCCTCAGACATACAGACTTAAACAAGGTGGAGTTGTGCTTTGAAATAAAACTACAGCAAAAACATCAGCACTTGCTTAGCATGCACAGCAAAGAGGTAAAACCCATAACCAACTCTAAAGATAAATGTAAAGACTAAAGACAGTAAAAGTTAACTGGGAGTAGGTATTTTATTTTACTTTTTGGTCTTTTTGAGACAGAGTCTCCCCATAGTCCCAGCTGGCCTGAAACTTGCTATGTAGACCAGGCTGGCCTTGAACTCACAGAGATCTGCCTGCTTCAGCCTCCTAAGTGCTGGGATTAAAGATGTGCGCCACCATGCCCGGCTTAGGAGTAGGTATTTTAACAGTGTTTTTTAATGTTTTTTCAGGGTGGCAAACTAGAATGTATAAACTGTTAGCATCAGATAGCTTTAAAGTTGTGACTTTCTAACGCATAAGTCTGTAGCTGGTTTCCTTTCTCTTGTCAGAAAGAAAACATGAAACCTTGGAATGTGTACGCCATCTTAAATAGTAAATATGAGAAAGCAACCTGAGTGTTGGCCCAGGACTGTACTCCTAGCAGTGGGAGGCTGAGGCAGGAGAATAGCTGTAAGTCTGAAGCCAGCCTGGCCTACATAGTGAGTCCCAATCTCCTGGGCTACAGAATGAGAGACCCTGTCTCTAAAATGAAAATTAAATTTTTTTTGTGTGTGTTTTGTTTTGTGTTACAGACAGTTGTTAGCTGCCATGTGGGTACTGGGGACCACAATGTACCCCTCGCTGGCCTGGAACTCAATATGTAGGCCAGGTTGACTTTAAACACACAAAGATCGGCTTGCCTCTGTCTCTTGTGTACTAAGATTAAAGGTGTATGCCACCTGCCTGGTCAAAAACCAGCAAAAGACAACCAACTGAAAGACTGCGGTGATAGCTCAGTGGGTAAAGTGCTTATCATGTAAAGATGAGGACCTGAGTTTGATCCACAACCCACATTTTAAAAAATATTTTATTTTTATGTGCATGAGTGTACTGCCTGCATGTATGTAAGTGCACCTGTGTCCTGCATTACCTATGAAGGTCAGAAGAGGCTGTTGGATTCCCCTGGAACTGGAGTTACAGACAGTTGTTAGCTCCCATGTGGGTGCTGGGAATCAAACTCTGGTCCTTTGCAAGAGCAGCCAGTGCTCTTAACCACTGAGCCATCTTTCCATCCCCCTACAACCCACATTTTTACAAAGGGTGTGGTGGCATGCCCTTGCAATCACAGTGCTGGGGCGACAGACTTCTGGGTTTGCTGGCCAACCAGCCTGACCTAACTGGCCAGTGAGAGAGACAGAGAGACCCTGTTTCAACAAAGTGTCTGGCACCCAATGAATGATACCTGCAGCCAGCTCCTCACCTCCACCAGTATATGCACACACCCTCACATGCTGAAACAAAACAAAAAACAAAAATCCCAACTGAAAAATAATTTTAGGCTCCATGTGCAGGACTTCCCCTGTCCTGCAAAGGCTAGTGAGTTGGGCATGCTTATCTTCATGTTTGTGTTTTTGTTATTGGTTTGGGGTTTTTTATTATTATTTTATTTTATGAGTGTATTGCCTGCCTGTGTATCCATGTCATGCAATGCCCTCAGAGGTCAGAAGAAGGCATCGGATTCCCCTGGAACTGGAGTTACAAACAGTTGTTAGCCACCACGTGGGTACTAGGAATTGAACCTGGCTCTGCTGCAAGAGCAGTCACTGCTCTTAACTGTTGAGCCATCTCTCCAGCCCATTTTTGTTTTTTAAATATTATTTTTATGTGCATGAGTGTATTGCCTGCATGTGTATAAGTGCATTGTCGTGCAGTGTCCTAGGAGGTCAGAAGAAGACATTGGATCACCATGTGGGTGCTGGGAACTGAACCCCGAGTCCTCTGTAAGAGCATGTACTGTGCTTGCAGAGGAAGAGTTCAGTTCCCAGCACCCATATTGGGTGGTTCACAACTGTTTTGTTTTTGGTTTTTTTTTGGTGGAGGGGGTCTTTTTGATATGGGGGTCTCCCTGTAGCCCCATCTGACCTAGAACTCACTATGTAGACCAGGCTGGCCTTGAACTCACAGAGATCCACCTGCCTCTGTCTCCCCAGTGCTAGGATCAAAGGCCTGTGCCACCATACTCAGCTACAACTGCTTTTAACTACAGCTCCAGGAGGAATCTAACACTTCTGAACTCTGAGGGCACCTACACTCATGCTCACATACACACACACATTCACAATGAAAAAATAATAAAAATAAATCTTTAAAAAAAAAGAGAAAACTGGGCTGGAGATGGCTTAGTGCTTAACAGCACTGGCTGCTTCTGCAGAGGACCTGGATTCAGTTGTCAGCACTCACATGGTAGCTAACAACCATTTATTTTTTTGTTTTTTTGGTCGTTTTGAGACAGGGTCTCCCTGTAGCCCCAGCTGGCCTGGGACTCACTATGTAGACCAGGCTGGCCTCGAACTCACAGAGATCCATCTGCCTCTGCCTCCCAAGTGGTGGGACTACAGGCGTGCGCCACCACGCCCAGCTGCTAACAACCATCTGTAACTCCAGTTACAGGAGATCTAATGCCCCCTCTCTGGCCTCCTCCAGCATTGTCTGACATGGTGCCCTTACAACACTCCACCATGTAAAATAAAATTTTAAAAAAAGAAAACTGACATGAATAAGTGGCTTTTTTTTTTTTTTGATCTTTTTGAGACAGGGTTTCCCTGTAGCCCCAGCTGGCCTGGGACTCACTATGTAGACCAGGCTGGCCTCGAACTCACAGAGATCCACCTGCCTCTGCCTCCCAAGTGCTGGGATTAAAGGTGTGCGCCACCACGCCCAGCGTTATGGCTAAGTTTTTTTGTTTTTTTTTTTAATTTTATGTGTATGCATGTATTGCCTGCATGTAGGTAAGTGCACCTGTGTCGTGAAATGCCCACGGAGGATAGAAGAGGCTGTCAGAGCCCCTGGAACTGGTGTTATGGACAGTTGTTAGCTGCCATGTGGGTGCTGGGATTCGATCCTGGGTCTTCTGCAAGAACAGTGTTCTTAACCACTGAGCCATCTCTCTAGCCCCAATGGCTAAGTTTTTAAAAAATATTTTATTATTTTTATTTTATGTGCATGTGTATTGCCTGCATGCATGTAAGTGTACCATGTCATGCAATGCCCATAGAGGACAGAAGAGGCTGTTGGATCTCCTGGAACTGGAGTTACAGTTACAGACAGTTGTTAGTTGCCATGTGGGTGCTGGGATTTGTACCCAGGTCCTCTGTAAGAGCAGCCAGTGCTCTTAACCGCTGAGCCATCTCTCCAGCCCCTAAATTTTATAATAAAATAATTCAACACCCTAAATAAAATACGGTTAAAGACTACTCTAACAAAATGGCCTCATTGTTTCTCCACAGGCCTTGGAAAACCATGACTGCCACTAGGGGAACAGCTATAGGCATCGACCTGGGCACCACCTACTCATGCGTGGGTGTGTTCCAGCATGGCAAGGTGGAGATCATTGCCAATGACCAGGGCAACCGCACGACCCCCAGCTATGTGGCCTTCACCGACACAGAGCGCCTGATTGGAGACGCGGCCAAGAACCAGGTAGCCATGAATCCCCAGAACACTGTTTTTGATGCCAAACGTCTGATTGGCAGGAAGTTTAACGATCCTGTTGTGCAGTCCGATATGAAACTTTGGCCATTTCAAGTGATCAATGAAGGAGGCAAGCCCAAGGTACTGGTGTCCTACAAAGGGGAGGAGAAAGCTTTCTACCCTGAGGAAATCTCTTCCATGGTGCTGACAAAGATGAAGGAGACTGCAGAGGCTTTTTTGGGCCACAATGTCACCAATGCTGTCATCACTGTGCCAGCCTATTTCAATGACTCTCAACGCCAGGCCACCAAGGACGCAGGTGTGATTGCCGGACTCAATGTGCTGAGAATCATCAATGAACCCACAGCTGCTGCCATCGCCTACGGGCTAGATAAAGGAGGTCACGGAGAGCGGCATGTCCTCATCTTTGATCTGGGTGGAGGCACATTTGATGTGTCCGTCCTGACCATAGACGATGGGATCTTTGAGGTCAAGGCCACTGCCGGTGACACACACCTGGGCGGGGAGGACTTCGACAACCGGCTGGTGAGCCACTTCGTGGAGGAGTTCAAGAGGAAGCACAAGAAGGACATCAGCCCCAACAAGCGAGCAGTGAGGCGACTGCGCACAGCCTGTGAGCGGGCCAAGAGGACACTGTCGTCCAGCACGCAGGCCAACCTGGAAATCGAGTCGCTGTTCGAGGGCATTGACTTCTACACATCCATCACCAGAGCCCTGTTCGAGGAGCTGTGTGCAGACCTGTTTAGAGGGACCCTGGAGCCTGTGGAAAACTCTCTTCGGGATGCCAAGATGGATAAGGCTAAAATTCACGACATTGTTCTAGTAGGCGGCTCCACGCGCATCCCTAAGGTGCAGAAACTCCTTCAGGACTACTTTAATGGCCGTGATCTCAACAAGAGCATCAACCCTGACGAGGCAGTAGCCTACGGAGCTGCAGTACAGGCAGCTATTTTGATGGGAGACGAGTCTGAAAAAGTACAGGATCTGCTTTTGCTGGACGTAGCTCCCCTGTCTCTAGGACTGGAGACGGCAGGGGGTGTGATGACTGTTCTGATCAAGCGCAATTCCACCATCCCCACCAAGCAGACACAGATCTTCACCACCTACTCAGACAACCAGCCTGGGGTGCTGATCCAAGTGTATGAGGGCGAGAGAGCCATGACCCGGGACAACAACCTGCTGGGCCGCTTTGACCTGACTGGAATACCCCCCGCACCCCGGGGCGTGCCGCAGATCGAGGTGACCTTTGACATCGACGCCAATGGGATTCTGAATGTCACAGCTGTGGACAAGAGCACAGGCAAGGCCAACAAGATCACCATCACCAACGACAAGGGCCGTCTGAGCAAGGAGGAGATTGAGCGCATGGTTTTGGACGCAGAGAAATACAAAGCTGAGGATGAGGGCCAGAGGGAAAAGACCGCTGCAAAGAACGCCTTAGAGTCCTGTGCCTTTAACATGAAGAGTGCTGTGTGCAACGAAGGCTTGAAGGGTAAGATAAGTGAGTCTGATCAGAAGAAAATACTGGACAAATGCAACGAGATCCTGTCCTGGCTGGAGGCCAACCAACTGGCCGAGAAAGATGAGTGTGACCATAAGAGAAGAGAATTGGAGAATATGTGTAACCCTATCATTACAAAACTCTACCAGGGAGGATGCACTGGGCCTACCTGTACACCGGGCTACACTCCCAGAAGGGCTGCCACGGGCCCTACCATTGAAGAAGTAGATTAACTCTGTCTGGAACCAGAGGGTGCTAGGGTGCCTCTAAGATGAATCTCATACCTTTCCTCTCCAAATACCATTATAATTCTTGAATCCCTTGGACTCGAGCTTAAGTTACCATCCTTTGGACTCTGATGGAGAAGTCTCCTCTGCCATCTTTCTGTTCTCTAATATCTTGTCTATGAACTTGAAATGGACCTTTAGGAAAACCAGGCCCCTCTTTGAACCATTTGATGATTTGAATGTCTGTTATTTATTAGACACCCCACCTTCCTTCCTGTCTGGATGGTTGTCAGTAAATTTGTTCCCAAAGGAAATCACTTTGGATATCTGTTTGTTTTGTTTGTTTTATTGAGACAGGGTCTCACTATGTAGCCCTGGGTCTCCTGGAACTCACTATGTAGACTAGGCTGGCCTTGAAGTCACAGAGAGCCACCTGCCTCTGCCTCCCAAGTGCTGGGTCTGAAGGTGTGTGCCATCACGCTCAGCCTGTTTCTTATTTTTTGAGTCAGGTTTTTTGTTTGTTTTTTTTTTTGGTCTTATTGAGACAGGGTCTCCCTGTAGCCCCAGCTGTCCTAGAACTCACTATGTAGACCAGGCTGGCCTTGAACTCAGAGATTTGCCTGTCTCTGCCTCCCAAGTGCTGGGGCTACAGGCATGTGCCACCATGCCCGGCAAGTCAGTTTTATAGGTCTGGCTGGTCTGTAATTTGCTATGTAGGCCAATTTGGCCTTGAACTTGTGGTGATCCCTCTGCCTCTGACACCTGAGTTCTGAGATGGCAGGTATTCATGTCCAGTGTGTTTTCTGTTGTTATTGTTGTTGGACAGGGTCTTACATAGTCCAGGCTAACGTCAACTCCCTGTGTAGCCAAGGATGACCCTAAACTCCTGATCTCTTTTGACAGGCCTGCAACATCATGCCTGGCTTACCTTCTGGTTCCTTTAAGCTATGAACGTCCTTGACAAGAAAGGAAAAGGAAGTTCCCAGAGTACATGTCCTCTCTAGTTTTGAGTTTATTGTTAATGATTAACCTGGTAAAGGCAAAGTATGCAGATTTTTGTAAGTTCAGTGTTTCAAACAATCTTGGTTTTTTGGTTTTCGTTTTGGTTGAGACAGGGTCTCCTGTAGTCTAGGCTGGCCTTGATCTTGTTTATGCTGCTGAGTGCTGGGATTACAGGAATGCGTGACTATAACTGCACAGTTGCAGAGCTGCCTAGAAATAGAATTTTCCATTCCTCAGGCACCTTGAGTCCAGATGGAGCAGTGACTAACTGTTACGGGCTAGTTCAGTAGCTATGGATTCTGCTGAACTCAGACACAAATCCTGCTTGATGTCTTCTGGGCACAGTAATATATACCTGTCATCTCAGTGGCTGGGGAGGTAAGGACAGAAGGGCCCCTGAGGCTTGTTGGCAAGTCGGTAAGATCCAGGTCCAGTGAGAGACCTGTCTCAGAAAAGGGCAACTTGAGGAAAATACCTAGTGTTGACCTGTGGCTTCCACAGGCATGTTTACATAGATGCTTGCACATGCCCCCCACCCAAGTCCTGGCTGCACTGTCTTAGCATCTTGGCATCACTGTAGAGAATTCCACTCTTTAATGAGCTGGCTCAAACCCTCCAAAGTTTAACCCCAGTGACCCACAGATGCTTTGCATCAATAGCCAGCCTCAACAGAAGACAACACGGTAAAAATTCATCGAAATAATGAGATGTTCCCCTATGCATCCAGATATGATCCCCACGTCCTATCAGATAACTTTCCTTTGAAGTTTTTGTTTTGTTTTGTTTGTCTTTTTTGAGACAGGGTCTCCTTGTAGCCCCAGCTGTCCTGGAACTCACTACGTAGACCAGGCTGGCCTCGAACCACAAAGATCTGCCTGCCTCTGCCTCCCAAGTGCTGGGATTAAAGGCGTGCACCACCACGCCTGGCTCCTTTGAAGTTTTATACACACACACACACACACACACACACACACACACACACACAGAGGAAACGCTTTCCCCACAGTGGTACCATGAACAGGAAACTCACCTCCTAAAGTTTTTGTAGTGTTTATTAAAGCCTCCATTTCCAACAGTCTGCCCTTTGGTAAACTTATTTACAGCCAGTGTCACCAGACTGTCAGCACTACCCCTAGTACCACCAAAGTCATATGTGAAGGTGAACTATTAGTGTTATTTCTACCCCTGAGGGAGTCTGTTTCAGGTTTTGGGGTTTTTTTTTTTTGGTCTTTTTTAGATAGGGTCTCCCTAGCTGGCCTGGATTCACTATGGAGACCAGGCTGGCCTCAAACTCACAGAGATCCACCTGCCTCTGTGTCCCCAGTGCTGGGATTAAAGGCGTGCACCACCAGCCCAGCTTTCTTTTTTTTAAATTTAATGTGTATGTGTGTATTGCCTGCATGTAGATAAGTGCACCTGGGGGGTGCAAAGCTCCCGGAGATCAGAGGAGGCGGTTGGATCCCCTGGGATTGGAGTTAGGGGCAGTTGTTACTGCCATGTGGGTGCTGGGATTCGAACCCGGGTCTTCTGCAAGAATAACCAGTATTCTTAACCACTGAGTAATGTCTCCAGCCCCCATTTCAGTTCTTTATAGAGTCCTAAATAAAACTTTAAAAATATGGCTGGGCTTGGTGGCACCTGCCGGCCTTTAATCCCAGTGCTCAGGAGGCAGAGGCAGGTGGATCTCTGTGAGTTCAAGGCCAGCCTGGTCTACATAGTGAGTTCCAGGTCAGGGAAACCCTGTCTCAAAAAGACCCCCCCCCCAAAAAAAAGAATATGAACATAGGCTGGAGAGAAGGCTCAGCGGTTAAGAGCAATGGCTGCTCTTACAGAGGACCCCAGTTCCATTTCCAGTCCCACATGTTGATTAACTCCAGTTCCAGGGAGCTGACACCCTCTCTGTCCTCTGTGGGCATTCAGGGCACGAGGTCACTTGCATGCAGGTAATACATACACATAAAAATAAAAATAATAATAAGAAAAAAAAATGGACACTGCAGCTGGGGCTGTAGCGATGACAGATTTACTTAAAAATGAATGGGTTCAATACCCAGAATCTCAAAAAAGGCTGCAGTTGAAATTTATTTTACTAGGAACCGTGTATAAAAATCAGGATTTTGTGTCCAGGCTCCCCTGCCTGATCTGTCTCCTACACACACACACGCTCACTCTCTCTCTCTCTCTCTCTCTCTTTTTTTTTTTCCTCCTTTTGCGACAGGGTCTTGCTGTGGTAGCTGAGGTTGGGCTCCAACTCAGGATTCTGCCTCAGCTCCCCCTAGGGCTGGGCTCACAGGCTGGCCGACTTCCTAACAATCCTCAACAGGAAGTGTGTATAGGGAAGAACAAAGCCGGCCAGGCCAGACACTAACTTCCGAAAGCTCCGCTGCCCGCCCGCGTATGCGCAGTGGGAGTCTGCTGCCGGAGGAAGTGGAAGACCGGAAGGCCAGCCCCCTCCCGGCCGCGGTCCTCTCCGCTCGGCCCCTTGGGCTCCCACAGAGTCGGCCGCGCGCTCCTGCTCCGGCGTCGTCCGAGGCTCTGTCCCTTCGCCTGCGTGATCCCGTCCTGCCCCACGCGCGGGCTCGCGCTCGGGCTCTCCCCCGGCACGGGTCCTCTCCTCCCGGGTCCGACCTGTAGTGCGAGGAGGCTGCACCATGGTTGGTAGCGTGACGTCAAAAGGGAGCGCCGCGGGCCGTTCGAACGCTGCGGACGCGGGCGGCTGTCCGGCGCCCCCTGCGCTGGGATCCCGCCCCGCTTTTCCGGCCTAGGCCCCGGCTCTTCCCTCAGGCCTTGGTACCTGTACCTGTGTCTGTTGAGACTCCCAGGCGCACATGGGTTTGGGGGAAGCCTCCCGCACACCCCGGGGCAAGGCAACGGCAGCGCGGGGACCGGAAGCTAGCCGTGCACCCCCGCGGGCACTATTCCCTGCGGGTTGGGGCGGCCTCCGGTCACTGCCCGGGAAGGGGTGGCCGGGGCCTGCGGAGGGGTCGGCCGGCCGGGCGGGCCTGGCTGCCTGTTCTGCTCCGGGAGCGGTCACACTCTTGTCTTACGGACCTCTGTTAACGCATTGTTGTGGGCTGTGGAGCTTTGAGAACTGCCCGATTGGGTGGAGACACAACACCGGCATTCGAAAGTACTGGTGTGGGGGCCCCTCCTTGCTGCCGGGTCCCTTTCCATGAGATGGTTTTCCCTCTTTCCCAATAGCTATTCTACTCCTTTTTCAAGTCCCTTGTGGGCAAGGATGTGGTCGTGGAACTCAAGAATGACCTGAGGTAGGTACCCGCTGAATTGAGTCTGGGGACGAAGGTTGTGCTCGGGGCCCCGGGACCTCTTTTTTTGGCAAGTATTTGAACGCTAGGCAAGGTGGAAAAATACGAAAGAAATAAATGACTTGTGCCTTAAGTGTAAAGCTTAGCGTAAGGATGTGTGGTGTGTTGGAAAATGACTGAGGGAGAGCAGTGTCCCAGGACAGACATCAGTCTTTTTTTTTCTGATTAAATTATGTGCCCCTTTGTTGCAACTTCTAGAAATTTAAGAATCTGTTACACAGGTAAAGATGTAGGCAGAGGTAGTAGTGCTCTGTGCTCCTTGAAGTGTACTAACTAAAGTTTGTCTTTTCCTACTTTGGGAAAAAAATATAAGATGTTTAAGCTGGGCAAGGTGGTGCATGCCTGTAGTCCCAGCACTTGGGAGGCAGAGGCAGCCTGATATCTGTGAGTTCAAGGCCAGCCTGGTCTACATAGTGAGTTTCAGGACA